CCCCAAAACCCCAAAACCCCAAAACCCCAAAACCCCATTATTTATCATTCAAATTGGAATATTAATATTTAAGGATAGTGCAATAGGGTTATCTGAATTCGTCAATTCTGAATAGTTCTTCATCAAGCTTATGAATCATCGGTTCTGGAGATTTTATTTTAGCCCTAAGCAGGCTATTTTTCACCCTCTTTTTCTTGCAGCTTACTATATCGATTTATCAGAAATGTTTACCCTTCATTTTATCAGATTGCTGAAAGGTGGAATAATGGGTTTCATTGTCTTTATCCTGAGAATTCATGCAGAGGCTTTCATCTTTAGAGGTATCATTGCGGTAATCAGAAGAGGCTGCTTTATACATCTTCAGGACATCTTCTAGCATACTTTTCTTAGTGTATAATCCAAGTAGTTTCATATGCTGATTGGGAGATTTGACTCTCCTCTTAGGATTTTCCTGGGTTATCTTATATAAGCTCCTATCATGGTTCGAAGTACTATGGTGTAAAGTTTTATTCTGGAGCTATAAAGAATGAGGAAATTTTTACAAATTTGTTATGATTCCTTTTGACCCTTTTTCTATTTTTCGAACTTTTTGCTCTGTTAGTCATCCGATAAGAAGAGTCCATGATGCCTATCAATTTAATAATTATGTTTTGTAGTCATTTAATAACATGTATAAAGATTCTCCAATAAATCAAGTAAAGGCTGAGAACAAAGATACTCCATACTATTTTGCAAAAATAGTTAATAATACTAAAAATAAAAAGATTTCTTAAATTCCAACAGAGTACGTTAGGCATAACTTTCGACCCCCAAAACCTCATTCTGACTAATAATACCCTATAAGGTGTCAGAAAGGTCGCTCTGAACAAATATCCGCTTACTACACTTGAGATCCTTGAACAAGGATTTGCCTTGGGAAGCGATTAACTTCTGGTTCATTTCCTTGCCTTCTTGCAGTGCTCTGGTCTGATTAAACATACTCTTGTCCACAAATCTGTAATTAGGGTCATCAAACTCATTCTGATGGATCCGGCTGGAGCCTCTCCGGTCTTTGTTGAAGTTCATGAGGATTTCGTTCCTTTTCATCTCAGAGAGATTCATTAGATCAAGATACATCTCAGAAATCATGTCTTTACCGTAGGTTTGAATAATCTTTTTCTTTTTCCTTGACAGCTTCTTGCGTGTCATTAAGTCCAACATCTTCATTTTCCGTAAAGTCTTATTTCTGCAGGTCGTACTGGGAGTTTAGAGTGTGTACAGAGACCGGCTTGTTCTGAATAGGCATCTTAATGTGCTTAAAATCCTTACCGAGGAGCTCCTTTATTTTCACCTTCTTCACGTTGTTAGAATTCTGCTTGATCGTAAGCACTGCATTAGGGTCTCCTTTACGAGTATTAGCAAGACTTCGATTCCTCCTTCGCTTCATTTTTGCATTTTGAATTACATTCCTGACTGAATCAGTGACTACTTCAGAGATGAGATCCTTTATGACATTTTCTTGCACAAATTTTCTGAAAACTAGGTTGAGCAAGGCCTTTTCCTTATCGTATTTTGCCTCTGTATCCTGGTTTTCTAGATTTAGTCTGTTCTTATTCATCACTGGAGGTGACATAAGCCTCATTTTGTTGGGAAATGGCCTGATTTTACTCCTGATTAACTTCTTCCCCTTCCGGAACTTTCCACTTAAACAAGGAAGGTCAACCTCTATTCTATGCTTAGTGTTGATCATAAAGCTCATCTTAGTATTTTTCTTCTTATGGATTCTTATTTTCTTCGTAATTTTTAGTGGCTTTTCTCTTTTATTTTATCACAGGTGCCATATCCTTACTTGTTATATTACGAAAGCTCTCTCGAAGTGGCTTCTGAGATTTAAGAGTTGATTTCCTCCTTCCGTCTGGCTGTGGAGTCTCCTTGTTTTCTTCGATTTTTGTTTTGGTGGTGTTTAAGGGGTTGTTCATAACTTTTTCCTTCTTGGATAGGACAGGCTTGAATTCCTTCTGTTGTGGTAATCCTTTAAGATGCCTAACCACTGAAAATTCAGACTTATCCTCTACAACTTGGATATTAGGAACTTCAGAGATCACGGAAATGGAGTTATTGCTGGTGGTTAGTACTTCTTTCTTGCTTTCTTCATTATTAGTCTCTTGACTTTTAAACACCCCTTCAAGATTGAGACATAAGTTTTGTGAAATAACGCCACTACTTGCTTTCTCTTCAGATGGAGTTTCCTTTGCTTGTGTGTCAATTTCCTCATTCTTCAAAACTACAAGGCTAAATTTTCTGAAGTCTTTTTGGTTTAAATTTCAAATATTTTCACATTTGAAATATAATTTCTCTAGATAATCTAGAACTATAGGTTGCACTTCGGTTCAGTCAAGATCATCAAGCTTTTCGCTCTCCAAAAATTGAGTGAAAACTCGGTTATGAGCTCTGTTGAGGAGCCTGGCAGTATATTTCTGTGCTAAAAGGGATGACTCTGAATCAATTATCATATCATCAAATTTCTCTTCATTTAGTTTCGAAATTTTCGACCATTTCACATCTGAAAGAGTATCAAGATCAACTCTGCTCCCGCTATAACTGGATCGCTTTGAAACTTTCGAGCAGGTTGGAGATACAGGATACTGCTTCATATCCCTCAAAAATGAAAGATCTACTGAACTTGAAGCCTTATAAAATTCCTCAGGTTCTGCAAAGTAGTCTAGCAGGAGAATTCCATTTTTCATTCTCGGAGTGATATTATCAAATTCCATTATTTTTATATTTCAATAATTTAATTAAGGCATGGGGTTTTGGGGTTTTGGGGTTTTGGGGTTTTGGGG